GGGCATTCACTGGCCTACAAAAAAAGCTTTACAAATAGTGTTACTTTTTCGAGTGTGGTCTGAAGCCTATTCATTGCATGACTTTCTATTCAACTACTTGGTATTAGACTTCAACTCTCGTGTAGCCTAATGTTTGAAAAGGGACTGTAATTATTTTATTTTTTTTCGTCTTACAGCTTAAGGCAGGGGTAGCTTGTGTAAAGGCGCTAATCGCAGACTAATGACGTCGTGGTTTTTTTACATGAATTGTTTGATTAATAAAATAATATGAAAAAAAGAACACATTTTTTACTATTGCATGTTTACATTGTTATATTAATTGAAATTATAAGTAAGCCTTTATGGCGTAAAAGTTGTATGATAAATGCACACACATAGTTGTGTAGTGTTGTGCTTATGGCATGTCTTGTCCAGTCCAATATGTGTCCTGCATATGGTAAATAAATGCTTCAACAAAGAGGAAGGTTTCACCAATCATAGACCGAAGACGTTTCTCAAAGATGATTCTTTATGAGCATATGAAGAATATCGTAGCAACTAGGGGCGGTGAAGGTGTTTCGGACCGAGTTGATGAGAGAACGAGAAGAATTAAGATTGGTGAGTGAAGGGGTGTGAGAGGGACCAGAGTGAAAGAGGCTGGTATAATGAGGTTAAACAGTGGCAAGAGGTGAGAAATGGAATGAAGTGATAGAGGTATATATAATGAAGGGGTGCAGTGGCACAGAAGAGAGGGGATTGGTTTTTTAATACTATTATTTTTTGTAAAAATAATAGTGGGGTATGGATAGAGGAGCAGGCTTGAAGATCTAAGCAAGGTGGTGGAGATGCCAGGGCAACCGCCGAGTAAATCACTTGGGGTCCTGTCCACATGGGCCCTCTCCCCCCCTCCCCCGAACGGAAATTGATGTGGTTTGATAACATTATTTTGACATTTGTTATGGCCCAAAAATGTAGGTTCCTCGTGGCCCCAAAAATGTAGGTTCCTCGTGGCCCCAAAAATGTAGGTTCCTCGTGGCCCAAAAATGTAGGTTTCTCTTGGCCCAAAAATGTAGGTTCCTCTTGGCCAAAAAAATTTAGGTTCCTTGTGGCCCAAAAATGCCCTGAACTGCCCTGTATCTAAGAATGCAGTACGGAAAGGGTTAGTGACGTAAGACAAAAGTTAAAGCATAGTTAGGAGCCTTAAATTTTTGAAAACGTTGTTTAAAAGTACCTGGCACATATTGATATGTGAGAAAAACTATATTTAATTGGGGATGTTTTACATATTTCCTATTGTCTTCCCCTAGAGAAATGTGTTTTCCCCCCCTGTTTTATTTTAAATGAATTAAAGTAGAAGTAAAAACAAAACATCAACTACAATAAAAATAATTTTATTTTTTAAAGACAGAGAGAATGGTAGGCTCATTGGGGACATTAAAAAGAAATCTTTATCACGTATAAAATCCATATTTTTAATTTAACAATAATTTCCTCTTCGAAACGGCTAAATTAAAAAATAAATTAAATTGTGTGTCGCCGAACATTTAGATCTAGTTCGAGTGTGTCGTTCGTTTTAAAAATAAAAGTTTAAAGTTGCAGCTCTACGCGTCCTAATAATACAGCACTGATGTTTGTGAACTACTTATAAAAATATAATGCAGGAATGTTGTTAGGTTTCTAGTTGCACTGACTCCTTTGCCCTTCCAAGTAAGTCGGGTCTGTACCTCAGTGTGGTGAAAGTCATGTTTGCTCAAACTTTCAACTGACGTTCTTCTTTATGTGTATGTGGCCGTCTTATCTGCCGCTGCCACATATGAATACGGGGGGCCAACATTGACATATCACCCCCTCTGAATAGATCTTGATGTTTTAAACGGTCCATGTTTGTGCTAATCCGTAGCCAGGTCCTCTATTCGCAGGCGTCAAGAATAAGAATAATATTGATCTGTTTTTATTGTTATTTATTGTCCAGTGTCTTCGCGTGTGTAGCAGTGATTTGGTGTGGGGTCGGACGTGGTTCTATATATATTCAAATGTGAGGTGATTTACGCCGGGGTATATAACTGCTTCATGACAGGAGTGTTTAGGAATGTTTGAGGCGAGCAAAGAGCGATATTTCTGCACATGTAACTTTTAAGAGTGTTTATTTAAAGGACCGATACATTTTTCTGTTTATCCTTAAATATTTTAAAAAAGGTAGGATAATTTGATTCTTAATGGTAGATTACTTGAAACTGAATGTAAGATTATTTGATTCCGAATGATAGGTTACTTGAAACAGAATGTAAGATTACTTGAATCTGAATAATATATTTCTGGAAACTGAATAATAGATTGCTTGAATCTGAATGATAGATACATTGAATCTGAATGATAGATAAATTGAATCTGAATTATTTTAAATTGCTTGAATTTGAGATTATTTCAAGATGAATTTACGGTAACTTAAGTCTAATTTTGGTATCATTTCAATTTGATTTTTTGGTTCAATCTGAATGTAGGATTAAAAAATCTGAATGTAGGATTAATACAATCTGAATGTACCATGGCTTAAACCTGTCTCTTAATAATAATGGGATTTGCAATGTTTCTGTGCCTGGTGTTGATGAGGATATTTCACTGATTGCCAGTGCCACTTCTTCTTCTTCTCTTCTTCTTTATTTTGAGGGACCACGATCAATGAACCTGGCTCTTATGTTTCAGAGGGCTTCGCGATGTTACTGTGCATGGTTTTCAAGGGGATACTTCACGGGTTACAAGAGCTACTCAGCAGTGGTGTTACGAAATAGGGGTTGGAATACAGGAGGCAATAGACACAAATGTATCGAGTGTAGCCGCCTCAACTTAGTGAGGGTATCATGCACTGGGGGTTGGAAGGCCTGAGGCAAAAGACGCAAATGTGTCTAGTGTTGTCGCCTCAACTGTTCCTTTTGAAATCTTGTTCCAGTCCCTGATTGTCTTGGACAGGAATGAGCAGTTCCTATGCTGGCTTCTTGCTGGTATGAGCTGGAATTCCCTGTCATGGCCTCGTTGCTGTCTATGGGGGAGAGGGACGAGTTTCTGTTTAATACTGGAACAGTGGACCAGCCCATTATTCATACATCATGGAGAGCCTGGATTGTCGTCGTCGTTCCTCCAAAGGTGACCAGCCTAGAGTTTCCAGCATGCTGCCAACATTAGAGGTATTCCTGTAGCGGTTCTAGACAAAGCGTGCTGCCCGTCGCTGGACCGCCTCCAAACTGTCAGTGCTCTTCTGGGTAAATGGGTCTCACACTGAAGATGCATAATCTAAAACCGGACGTTTAGTTGAGTATCTGTCCGATCCAGGTCAGTCGGTCGCATAAAAACTTTGAAATGTTTGTGACAGTTGGTTTAGAGCTACTTTTAGTGGTTTCTTTTACATCCAGCTCCCGTCACCAAGACCAAGACCAACCCATTGCAGTTTCTTCACACCACTACACTACGCGCCCTCACACCGTCCCATTCACCGTTGGTACACTTCAGGGCGCACCAAACTGACGCATATAATGTTGAGTCATTCTCTTGAAATCTTCACCTTTCATTTGAGGATTAAACAAGTGTGAAATTAGCGAGACACCTGTAAATGCACCACAGTCATTTTAATCCCTTAAGTTCTAAGCTAAGGTCACTCGGCATAATGAAGTGGGTTACAGGTGGGCTCAATGATGTTTTTAAATACTTTAATTTAATTTGACAGAAGTATATGGTATATGTGTAAATATATGGGAAATCTGAGAAGAGGGTTGCGTACTTTGACAAAAATCTCTATTGAGCTGTGGCCAATGACTTTGCCCGCACTGGGAGATATATGCTTAGATTTAAGTTAAGGCCGCGAGTGCGTGGCGCCGCCCCTGACAATGTAATAATCTAGAAACGCGATTTAAACAATCGTTAAAGAAATGTATATCTTTCCCGATCTGACTCTCCGTGTAGTCCCCCTCTTATTTCTCCATTCATGACCCTGTTTATTCGCCTTGAGTATAAAGGCGGTGACTTTCAAAATGACCGCTCTTGTATTCGAGTTTAAAAGTATTGATGTACAAGATAAATAATGGGCTGGTCCACTGTTCCAGTATTAAACAGAAACTCGTCCCTCTCCCCCATAGACAGCGACGAGGCCATGACAGGCAATTCAGGCTCATACCAGCAAGAAGCCAGTATAGGAGCTGCTCATTCCTGCCCAAGACAATCAGGGACTGGAACCATCTTTCAAAAGGAACAGTTGAGTCGACAACACTAGACACATTTGTGTCTATTGCCTCAAGCCTTCAAACCCCTAGTGCATAATTTCCTCATCACCACCAGTAACAGAAACATTGCAAATCCCATCTACATGCATAGGAGCCAAAATGATCAATA